TAAAAAGCAAAATGAATACTTTAGTACCCAGGGTACCAAAAAAGTGTCCCAGAACTCCCTTTTTCACCCTACTAGTACCCATATAACTATTAATTGATATTGATCAAATGTTATAATCTATGTTATTAATACATGATATATCAAAAGATTATAATTTAATTAAAATTCTAAAATAGTAATTGTATCAACAATGTAGTATAGACAATGTAGTAATTATTAGTGATTAACATTAATAAATAAGGCATCAATCTAAATAGAGGAAATATCTAGCTTAGATTCTTTGTAAGTAAGCTTTGATTCTTAGTAAATAAACTGTTATTTGTATAGATACATTATTAGTAGAGTATTTGTACAATACTTTAGTTATTATATACTAAAGCCAAGCAAGTAAAGACTAATAGTAAAGTTAAAATAGTATATAGTAGGTTTAAAAACTATATAACACTATTAAACATATTTTGTATAAACTAGATACTTTTTTTTTTTTGGTATTAAGGTGACCTCTTTGGTCTGGGGACTTTTTATTAGAGTATAGACAGAGTTTTATAATATAATTACAATGATGGTACATTAAGCAACACGTGCACCTTTTGAGTGCCTATTTAAGCAGTCCGCCTGAAAGTTCTACACTATCTGCTATACCTGCACTTCAACTAGGAGGGTACCCATTTAAACTATCTAGTTCTAACTACCTCTATCCACCCTCTAACCCGATGGGTTTTTTCACTATAAACTCAGATAGATTTTGGTATTACCCTATCTAGATTTCGCACCCTACCTTAGGACACTTAACTATCCTTGAGGTAAATCTAACATAGCAGTACATGTCCTACACATGTATTCACATACTTGTTCCTATAACTTTTTCCTAATTAGTGCATATTGACCTGCTATTTCATATTCGTATCTCACACTACCTTTTGGGGTGCTGCCGTTCTACAGACATTTCTCAAGCACCAACCTTCCTAATTAGACACCCATTATATATTCTTTGCCCTTGTTTTGGTTCCTAGCAACCCCAGTGCCCTGCATTTAGACCATCTTCTTACTCAGATTCTTTATCAGTTCCTCCCTTACTTCCAGCTAGCAACCCAGAATGGTCAGTCTGCCCAGGCTTTAGGTGCCTGAAGAACACCCTCCTCTTGGTCCATACTTTTGGAGCGTATTTTCTTTTTCTCCAGTGTGACAACCTGGCAGTTTGGTTAGTATGTCCTCTGCCATTAGGACCTGGCCACTCGGTTCTCTGATCTCAGACCCCAGTTCAAATTCAGCCCTTTTGTAGTACTGTCATAGATCACTACTACCTCCAAACACAGAACTTGCCAAACAGGTTTTCAGTTATTCCAGTCTTCTGGATTTATTGTGCTAAAGCTTCTATTATTAGATGGTGTAACCAAGGTTACAGATTAATCTAGATCCAAACGATAGAAAGCCGTCAACCATACACAGGCCTATTTTTTGAAAATCGTCGCCAGTGGGATTTGAACTCTAGACCTGCCACTTGAAGAGGGTGACGACTAGACTACTACACTAAGTCACCACACCTCTGTATAAACTAGATACTAATATTCTTAATAATAAGTATGTATATAAATAATATTTTTATAATTTAAGTAATTATACTTAATAGAAAAAAGTAACAAAACTTTTAAGTTCTTAGATTTTATAATTATGCTTTATATAATAATCTAACTCATATATTTTTATATTAAAGCTATAAAGTTTTTAAACTAAATTTTAAAATCAAAGTTTATTATGAATCTATATACTAATTACTCTTGACATGTTGATAAATTATAAATAAATCTTTCAAAAAATTATACTGAGTTATAATCATTATAAACTCTAAGCTACTATACAATTTTGCCATAGCAGATTTCTGATTTGATTGGCTAACAGCTATTATACAAAATTTTAACCTGTATTATATAATTGTTATATAATTTTTGGCCAAAATTAACTTTTAATTTGAAGAGTTTTAATGCTCACTAGAGGTAAAATTCATCAAGAGTACTATCTCTTAAAATGTAAAGTTTGTATAACAATTTTAGCTTAAAAATAGCATAAATTTAGGTATAATTTATTTTTTCTAATATTTAAAATTTTTAAATAAAATTTCATATAATAATATTTGAAAATAAGAATTATTTTTTTATAGTATTTATATTATAAGAAAAAAATTTTAAGTTGCTTATAAGCTAAAAATAGAATATTTTTTTAGTCAAAAAAGTTTTTACTATTTTTTGATGAACTCTTTAAATATTGATTTTAAAAATATAATTCTTAATACAATATTAAAGTTTAGATTAAAGATTACAACTTTTATTTTTTGACTTTTAGTGATTAACTTGTAAAAATTAAGACTTGTATTAGAAGTAAAAATTTTTTTACAGACAAAAACATATAAAATTTAGAAAGTTTAAAGAAAAAATTTTATAATAAAAAATTTGAAAAAAAATTTTTAAACTTTTATAATTTAAAAGATTTTTTATATTTTTAAAAAAATTTTTAATAAAGTTAATAAAATAGATTTTAAAATATATTTTTACTTAGTAAATATATAGCTAAAATTAGTATTTAAAATTTTATTAAAAAATTTAAAAATTAAAAAATTTTCACAGGCAAATTTGCCTGTATTACAATTTAAGAGATAGCTCAAAAACATACTTAGTAATTAGAGTTGGGGTTCTAAATGAAAATATTCAGAACCACCAAAACCTTATGATAACTGAAATTAGGATCTTATATCTAATCTGCATTATGTTATATAAAACTAGTGTTCTCAAATAAGCTGGCTCAAATAGGCTTGCTCAATATTTCCCTAAACCTAACACAACATGATAAATTTGTGCCAAAAACTTAGAAAAACTTAGAAAATTTTTTAAAAAATCATATAAAAGGTACAAAACCACTATAGGCGTGTTTTATAATAAAAGAACAATCATACTTGCTAAATTTATATAACAATAAAATTTATAAGTTAATTAAATTAATGCTTAATTATTAATAAAATTACTAAATTTATGCAATAATACTTTACAACAAAATTTTTATAAAATTTATAAAGAATCATCTCTTAAGCTAATCTTAACTTTCATATCATAAACCTGAGTTAACAAATTATAATAATATTTTATCTTTTCATCCTTTAATTCTATGTTATACTTTCTATAAAATAGAACAACTAAAGATTTCAATACATTCATAGCCGCTAATTTTCCAGCACAAGATCTAAGACCACAACCGAATGGAGTATAAGAAATCTTTTGAAATTCCGAAAGTTCAGACGAGCCACCATGATGTTTACTTAAAAATCTATCAGGATTAAAAGTTTCATTATCTTCCCAATAATCAGGATCATTACAAAGAGTTTGATGATCTATCCAAAATGTAGTTCCACTTGGCCAATTATATCCAGCAATATTTAGAACACCATCAGAAACTTTCATAGTATATGGAACTAACGTAGTAATGCGCAAAGTTTCTTTAACCGTAGCTTCAATGTAATGACAATTATCGAGTTTTTCAAGAGTGAATTCAACGTTTGGATCAGAACCAAAGACTTCATTGATCTCTTTGCGAATCTTGGCAAGAACATTTGGATTTTTCGCAATGTAATATATTAAAAAACTGAGTGAATTACCGGTCTGTTAAATATGGAAATAAAAATACGAACAAATATGATCTATATGTTAATATATATGTCAATAACAGTATATCTATTATATACACGTATATAATATATACACTTTATATATAAAAAATGATTGTTGTAAGCATTTACCGTATCGGTGCTAGCTAGAAGAACGTCCCACGTAATAACAGTAACTTCTTTAGCAGTTATTGGAGTCACATTATCATCATTTTCAGAATCGGGATCTTTTAGGGTATGAGCAATCAATAGATGATCTAATAAATCTGCGTCTAATTCTCAAGTTCTTTCTTTCTTTTAATAGCGATATTATTCACAACATCATTCAAATAACTAATATTGCGTTCACAGCTCTCTCTATAATGGCTAAAACCTGGTACATAATCCATTACAAATTGAGGGACTAAAACAAAAAATCCAAGTGAAAGAAAATGTTTATGTATGCCGTTAGTAAACTTTAAAGATTTTTTGATTTCTTCAGTTTGAACTAATTTCTTATTTGTGTCAAATAAAGCTGCACAATAAGAATGTTGTTTTGTGGTTTGAAGAGTATGAAGATCAGTTGCAAAAAATCTTATCCATTCCCTAAAATCAAATTCAATTCCATCTTTTATTTTCGAACTCCATCTTTCTTCAGAAGCTTTAAATTGGTTTTGAACACAAAGGACGATACCTCGTAAGAATTTCGTTGCCATTAATGCACGGATTATTAATTTTCTCCTTCTATGCCATGCATCATAATCAGTACAAAAAATTACACCATTATGAAGTCCTGTTCTTTCAAATGTAGTAAAGGGAAGTTTTTTAAAGAGACTTTTATTTGGTTTACAAAGTTTCTCAGCATGTTTTACATGATTGACGACTATGTGTCGTTCGGAACCAATATAAAATTCCCAGATTGCACCGGCTTTCCCCTTATTTTTATTGTACCACGTGAGAGGATTCATTCCAATGATATGAATCGTCCCGAGTATAGGAATTGGCATGGGACCTGGTAATGGATTAGGACGTGTAAAATATTTATAGTAGAAGTTTGATATATAAATTATCAATAATACTAGTATAAGGGAAGGCCAATCTGTCAAACAAGCGCTTAAAACTGATAGAAGCGACATTTTTATGAATATCTTCTCTTTAATAAAAGTTTTTTTTTTCAACTCTTATTAACCTCTTTTTTGTCAAAAAAAAAAAAAAAACTGATTACTAGTATATTTATACGTACGTACGCATGTTTGGAATACTTGTAAATGATACGTATCACATTGTTTACCAGGAACGTAGTGATTGGATGTAGAAATCGAATGATTTCACGACATAACAATTTACGTTTTATTCCCTAATTAAGTTTTTTGATAATAAATCATATCTAAATGCAGTTACTATTATTTCAAAAAACTTTAGCATGTAAAGTAGAGTTCCAATATGGTTAGCGTTTATTCGGTAATTATCAGCTACGTATGTACGTACGTACGTACGTACCTTATAAAAAATTTCCTCATTTTACAATGACAATTTACATAAATATCAGATATTAAATGCGTGATACTGGAATATAATATTTATACAGAGTGATACAAGACCAAAAAAAAAAAGAGTAGCAGAAAATTTCGAATATAACTTTAAGTTCATGGGGAAAATTAGTAATTTAAATATAAAATTTTCACCTTCATTTTTGAATTAGTTATAAACACTCATTTTATCGTATTTTACTTATTTTTTCATGCTTTATGGCGCATAAATAAATTTCCATATTGAACCTAGGTGCCGCACAAAAAATGCGCGGCGGATCCACGATTTTGATTGGCTAAGAGCGACGATAAAAAAATTAGGCCGGAATTACTCGTAATTTTACTAATGAAATCGCAGCAGCCCACTAAGTGAAAATTGTTCCTGGGCCAATTTTACCACAATGCGGGATTATTTTTTAAAAATTTCTATTTTTGTAATGAAAAAATTAAAAAGGTAATTCCGGCCGGAAATTAGAAACAATTATGTAATGCGGGCCAAAATTTTGAAGATCCTCGGCCGTTAGCCAATCAAAATCGAGGTGGGTGTCATGCGAATAGCCAAGCGAACATCAAAGAGAAAGTTAATAGTTCACGATATACTTTAAAACTCTGTGACACCCTTAATTCTAACATATGAGCACCAACATGAAGTTATAGTTTAAGCATGTCTGAAATGTGTGCTAGCATTTCACGCATAATGTTAAATTTCAAACTTTGGTCTGCCGGGTCAACGGATCTACTGTAAAGTACATTTGCGTATCAGGGTATTAATATGTAATTATATGATTATATTGGATTTTAGGGTTAAATTTATTAATAAAAAAGTATAGGTGGATTTTAGTAGGGTTTATATTTCAAATTAGACCTTCGAAAATCAACGTCATTCGTGAAATTTACTAGTTAATTTCATTTATTTGAGTTAATAGTTAAGTTATTCATAAATACTACTTATCAAAGAGTTATACAATCACCGAAGTGACTGTAACCTTGCCCAGGCGGCTTTATCTTTACTTTAGGTCTCGCTTGGCACAACACACACACACCTTCACTCGCAAACACACTGTAAGTATTTACTTAATAAAAAGCCTTTTCTTTATTACCAGTCAAAGATACTAATTTCTTTATTTACATTCGCTATTTAAGGTGGGTGCGGGTATTATGGCGAATGGGGTATTGTGGCGAATTGAACATATAACAAGGAAACAGGATTTTTTTACTAAGTAAATCATATTTCATCTACTAAGTAAAGTTATCGGAAATTCTGTGTTTCATTCATCTTCAAAGTTTGGAACGATTTCATTGACTTTTCATTAATCGACTTTCACGTTATACGGCTTGATGCAGAAAATTTACCTACTGCGCCAAAACATATATTGTGAAAGCCGATTAGTGAAAAGTCAACAAATCATTCCAAACTTTGAAGATATATGAAAAACAGCATTCCCGATAACTTTGCTTAGTGGATGAAATACGATTTGCTTAGTAAAAATCCTACTTTGTGTAAAATGATTATTACTTTAAGAAATTGATATAAATTACTGCGTGCACCGTATTATGATAGCGATAATCACATTTATACTACTGTTACCATCGGTTGGAAGAGCAATTGTGGATGTTAATCCAATTTAACTCCGATGGTTAACTTGGTTCAGGATTTATAACACTTATACACGTGGGATGATGTCACAAAACACTTATACTGAGTCGGGATTATCACTTAACAATCAAACTTATTTACTGGGAAGGGTTTATTATATACAATAAGAAATGCGAGACAACAATAATAAAGAAAATAAAACAATAATAAAAAGAATAAAATAAACTAAACTAATAACTAATACATAAACTCTAATACAACATAAAGGGGGGGATCCGAATATAAACTATAACTAAAACATCAAAGGGTTCTCTGGATTATAGTCTTTTGAGGCATTGTCTGAGGAAAACTTAACTAAGGCGGAAACCCAGGCCTTAAATACCTTTTATCTTACTAAGAGCTACTGTGCTATCTTTAATTCCTAGTTTATCTTCTTAGCAATCTTCGGGCTGTGACAATCCACATTTGATAGCAACAATTGTGAACTAGGCGCGCAACAATTGTGAGCTTAAGCACACAATTGTTCACAATGGACACCAATTTGCTCTCAATATTTACTACAAGGCTTACTCTCTATCTAATGTTTATCCGATGATAGGAGTAATTAATTACCGGGATTGATCTATATCTTTAAGCCTTTATCCGCCACCTAAGAGCCTCACAATATTCTTGGGGCTTAGGTCATTTGGACTTTTAGTACTACCAAGTTACATAGAAGCTACGGTTTAATTTTAAAACCGTGACACTACGTATCGTTACCGTTACAAATCAGTATACCTATTCTCTTTTTTTCTTCGCAAACACTATTTATTTACCATAACCTTTTCCATAAATCTCAGCTTTATTGTACCTAAATAACTTGTTTTTTCTTTATGCTATGTTGGCACGAACTATTAACTTACCTAAACCAATCTTACTTAAGAACGGTAATTTAAATTTAATACAGCAGTCAGACCTTCAAAATGCACCCTCTTGGAACCACAGTAAAAAAAAAAAATTGAAATGTAAATTTAAAGAGGGTGTGCATTATTTATATTAGAGAGAATTTACATAGAACGTGCATTTTTTATGGAGGTCTGACTGAACTCTAAGAACATATTTGGGACTTGGGTATGAAACTTTAATAATTTGTCAAGTATCATTACTATTACTAGAAAAAATTATATCAATTTACATTTCAAATAAATGGGAATTGTGGATTTAATCAATACGAATTATTAATCAGAAGTTCAAATTTCATTTAAAGAATTCTTGAGATGCAACAACTAACAAGTAAATTATGTTATGTTCAAAATACAGACACAAATGAATATAATGAAGGTTAGTTGATTATAATCCAATCATGTGAAGAATTCTTATTAATTTCTTCATGAGGTGAGTTGATCATGATCCAATTATGTGAAGAATTCTTATTAATTTCTTCGTTAATTACAATTATATTGTGCAAAGAATTCTTATTAATTTCTTTATGAGGTGAGTTGATCATGATTACATCGTGCGAAGAATTCTTATTAATTTCTTCATGAGGTGAGTCGATCATGATTACATCATGCGAAGAATTCTTATTAATTTCTTCATAAGGTGAGTCAATCACGATTATATCACATGAAGACTGCTGATTAATTTCATGAGATTTCTTTCTTTCCTGTTCACAACTGACTACTTCCAGAGTTTCTTTTTTTTCAACCATTAAATCTTTATTTATAATAGGTTTATAGATCGGTTGATGATACACTACCTTTCTTGTGTTCTCTTTGCATTTAATGATATATGGTAATTTAATGGGTTGTCTCTTTTTTTTTTATATCGCCTGTGTAGTGACATTTTGTTTATTGGGTAAAGGCAGCGACAAATCAATTTTTTTTTAAAAAAAAAATTTAAATAATACGATTTTTTAATACTTTTAAAGATTATTGTACTGTAATTGATAAAGAATGAATAATAATAAAATTAAATAAATATTTTTGCCTTTATTAAATAATCGATTGCTAATTATTTTGATATACAGTAAGTCTATGTTGATATCCCGAAATTGTATAAGTCTGAACTTTAGTATACATTTGTTTGAATTTTTTTTTGTTGAGAATGACTTATCAGGGTGACAAGAAGCATGAAGATTATCAAATTTACAAACAATAGTGATTATGATCGTAAATTTGATAGTGCTTGCTTTTCTTTTCCCTGATATAATCGTTGAAAATATGCGATTTATGCGTTTGATGCAGGCTCAACTATTAATATATCAAAAATGGTTAACAACTTGATTTAAAAGGCAACGGTAATTAATTTTATAGATTGCTAAATTCTAAAAGGCAATTAAAACAAAAGCACATGCATAAAGCTAAACATTAGCTTATAAAAGCTAACTAAATTTCACTAGAAAAGCCGCACGATTCTAAATTTACATCCACGATCTAATTCAAAAATATGATTGATTGCAATTTCTAGAGCTGATCAATTTATCTTATTTATAATAAATCAGTCAGCCTTAGTGATCACAATTGCAATCACAATTGTGATCATTTTATAAAGTAAAATTTTTCTAGCAATTATAATTAACACTTTTATTTGTCATTCGTATCCAATAAAAATAAATTATAGTTTTTTTATTATCTTGTAATAAAAGGATGCTATTTAACTACTTTAAAAATCTAAAATTTGACAGTTCTGATCTCAAAGTATCAATAAAACTATAATTATTTTTTATTAAAAATTAAATCCACTACTATTAAAACAAAAAATGAAACCCATTAAAAAAACTAAATCCAAATGTGCTAAAAAATTAAGCTTAAAAGCCAAAGTAAAAAAAATGAAAATCGTATCTAAAAAAATATCTAATAGAAAAACAATAATACTTAGTCATAAAGATCATTATATCGCAATTGAAGCTGCACTTAAAGAACTTGCAGGCTCCATGAATCCTAGTGTAAATTCAACCGCCTCGAGATTTGGACTTTCAGAGACAACACTTAGGCGCACTGTTGAAAAAGGTTTACCCAAACATTCTGGCCCTCGGACAGTTCTAAGTAAACATGAAGAAGAACAATTAGTAGGTTACTGCAAAAATATGCAGAAGTTAGGATTTGGTTTGACAAAATTAGATGTGAATCATTGCGTAATGAAGATAGTGTGCAATGATAATTGTTCCAATCCATTTTCAGTTAAAGGGCCTGGAAGAGCTTGGTGGAATCATTTCATGAAGGATTATCCAAACCTATCTTTTTGAATGTCTCAAGCTTTAACAGAGACATGTGCCCAGAGAGCAAATCCAATAATAATAAAAGATCATTTTGATAAATTAGAGAAGATAATTGAAGAATATTCATTTACTCCAGACCGCATCTGGAATATGGATAAAACTGGCTTTGTTATCGCTTCCAAAATCCAAAAAGTTCTTGTGAAAAAAGGTTAGTAATTAAAAAATTAAATATGCTATTAATTTATTTATATAACCAATATTAATTTTATTATTTTAAGGAGCTCGTCAAGTTCATAAAATCTCACAAGAAAATACATATGATCATATTTCTATCGCACCAACTATCTTAGTTGCTGGTAATTTTATTCCTCTACTATTTATTTATAAAGGTATTTGTGCAATCCCAGACTTATTATCTGGTGCCCCACATGGTTCTGTTATGGGTTTTACTGATTCTGGGTACATGCGAGAAGAACTCTTCCAAATGTATATTGAACATTTTGTCAGTTCGATTCCTTCTTCTCGCCCATTTTTGTTTATGCTTGATAGGCATAAAGGCCATATTAACTACACAAGCATAAAATATTGTAATGAGAATAAAATTTTATTATATAAACTTCCCCCTCATATGACTCACATACTTCAACCCTCTGAACTCCCCTTTGCCAAACTTAAAAGTGAATATAGTAAGAGTTGTGACCAGCTTTATAATAGTAAAGGTGAAGTGGCAACCAAGCATACATTTGCAAAAATCCTTGGACCAGCATTTGTAACAACCTATACTCCAGAAGCAATTAAAAATTCCTATAGAGCTACAGAAATTTGGCCACTTAATCCTGACGCAATAAATCCTGATTGTCTTGCCCCTTCACTAACAACAGAATGAGCTGATCTTTTACCTTTACCTCATTCTTCTCAACCAAGTTTCTTATTTTCAACTCATTCTAATCAACAAAATTCTTTATCTACGTCTTCCTCTCTTCAACCAAAGTATACCACTCGACATAAAACAGAATTGTTAAAGGCTGATTTTACGTCTTTTAAAAAAGATGTTGAGAATTTGAAAAAAGAAAATGAATTATTAAAACAAAAGTATGAGTTAATAAGTGAAGAACTGGAGACTTTTAAAAAACCTGATACCTGCCCATTAAAAATGGCTCTTAAGTACCCTGCTTCCTATCTTGCCTCACAAACTACTGAACAAGAATCTAATGATACCGATTCTCAATCCCGAACCACAAAAAAAAGAAAAACATTTCCATTTGCTAAACTTCTTACCAATGAGGATTTTTTGCGGGAGTTGAAAGAGGCAGAAGAGCTAGCTAGAATGAAAGCTGAAAATGTAAAAAGAAAAAAAGAAGCCGCTGCCCAGAAGCAGGCAGCATGTGAATTAGAAAAAGAAAAAAGAAAAGCTGAAAGAGAAAAAAAAAAGACTGAAAAAGAAAAGAAAAAAGCTGAAGCAGAGCATCAAAAAGAAGAAAGAAAAAGAAAAACTCAGATAAAAAAAACCCCCGATAATAGTGGCATAACGAATATACTGTAATAACGGTAATCAAATAAAAGCTTTTCTAAAATAGATATCTAATATATCTGATGATCGTCAATCTGCATATCATTCGCCATAATACCCTCCCAAAATTTAAAACTGAAGCCATCTAAGTAACATTACATAATTTAGTCAAAATGCGATTTTATCTTTTATAGAATTATTAAGCAAGGTTTAACTTGTGTAAATTTTAAAAAAATTATCAAAAATAAAAATTTTTGGTAAACTTTTATTAGTAGTACATGTTAGCTTCGCCATAATACCCGCACCCACTTTATATGATCCAACAATTACATACGTTTGTGCAACACTTAAACTATCCCTTTCATTGTTATTAATTTAACAAACTTTTTAATTTCCATTAATATATCGTCGGGCATCGATGATCACGGTACTTGGTGTACCCGATCTTACTAATGCCGCCCAACACTTCGATTTTCACCACAGCTTTGATCGATCACGTGAATCGTTCGATCGATATTTCTGTATTTCCGCTTCACTCTCGACTCACTATACATTTCGTTATCTATTTGCATCCCTTTAATTAAGTATAAGGGGTCTTCGAAAACTATGCGCACTACTATTAAGTTTTTTTTTAAAGCTAATTTTATTTTGTTAGCGTTGATTTAGGTGGTAATTATAAAAACTTTTATTAATTTAAATATTTAAACAAGTCACGAATATTTACTATTCATTAGCATTAGTTTAGAAAAAACTTTATTAATATATGTATTTAAAACAAGCTGTCAAGCTTATAACATTTTTTTTTTTTTAAATTCATTTATTCACATTTTACTGTAAGTCAGTAAACATAGAGATTAGTGGTTTAAATTTAAAAGTCGCGAAATAACTAATATAAATATATAATTCAGATTCTGGCTATGGGAAATGTGCGTATCATAATGAAGATAACACGAATGAGGCATAGTATAAAGCATATGATCTAGACTTAACAATTTAAAAATAGGCAAGCAGAAACAAGGAGTTTCAACTTAGAGCTAATTCGTATCATAAGATTAATAGAGTCTCAGAAAACTTATAATACATTAAAATTGGGGAATCTGTTGGATGAGCTCGTGATCCGCATAGTATCGTTGTCTCAAGACTTCGTCTGATTTTAAAGAAAATTCTCATGATTTTTGAAAAAAGCTAAATCAATATTGGAACAGTTTATTATATAATTTATAGTTATTCTTGGGATAATGAAATTATAATACATGGATTAACTCAAAACACAAAAATAAACGAGTATATGATGATTTCAATATGCATATAACGGATTTTTTTATATTTTTTTAAAAAAGGCTTTAGCGAATTAAATTAAAACTAAGGCTAAAATTCTTTATCATAAGATTTTTTCAGGGAATCCCGTTTATATTTCGAGATTACAGTAACATTTTAAAGATTAAATTTTTAAACATAAAAAAAAGAAGTCTGTGTTGGTGGGTTATCACTATTTTCGATTTAGCTGAATTTGATAAATTTTGATTTTGATTTTGATTTTTTTTGTCCCATGAGTCCTGTGATTACAATATAAGTAATCACTTAGATTAGTTATCTTTAGCACTTTAATTATTCATAAATATATATATATATTTACGCTCTTTTCACTAGCATAAATTTGTGAAACTTGAAACTGGATATTAAGAAAATATATGAATAATTATTTGGCTTTATTAGAACTAAATAGAAAACAGATATAAAACAAAGGGGAATTTGCATATAAGGGCCCGAAAAATGAAATAATTACAAATAAGGGCTCAAAGTGAAAATAATTACATATAAGGGCTCAAAGTGAAAATAATTACATATAAGGTCCCAAATTTTGAAAAATTTTACAATTAAAGGCCAAAATAATTTTGCGTTATGATGATAGTGGTTCTTCGAACGTATATATGTTGTACGTTGCTCTTAATTCAAAATTAACGTACCTGAGTTTAAAATT